AGTGGCGGCAAGTTCATGGTTTGCTTCAAGCTCTGCATCGCTGTCATTGTCTTTGCTTGCCCATGCGCGCTCGGTCTTGCAACACCCACCGCTGTCATGGTCGGTACTGGTGTTGGAGCTGAGAATGGCATTCTCGTCAAAGGTGGTGCCGCTCTCGAGACTGCCACAAAGATCAACCATGTCGTCTTCGACAAGACTGGCACGCTCACTGTTGGCAAGATGAGTGTATCTCAGGCAGACATTCAGGGAGGTTGGGCAAGCCCTGATAAGAAGAATCTTTGGTGGACTCTCATTGGACTTGCGGAAATGGGCTCAGAGCATCCTATTGCTAAGGCTATCGTTCTGTCTGCCAAGGAGCATCTCCGTCTCGGATCCGATGGCAGCCTGGATGGCTCAGTCGGAGACTTTGAAGCTGTCACCGGTAAGGGTATCATCGCAACGGTCGAAGCAGCCCTCTCTCGAGAGCGTACCCGTTACAAGGTCCTCATTGGTAACACGGCTTTCCTCACCTCCGAGGGCGTTAACGTCCCCGACTTCGTAGAAGAGCCGCTCACACCCGCTGCCAATTCCAGACCTCGAGGTGGACCCCAAAACCGATCCGCTGGTATCACCACGATTCATACCGCCATCGGCAACACCTACACTGGTACACTGAGCATGTCCGACACCATCAAACCATCTGCCCGCGCTGCAATCCTTGCCCTTTCTCGTCTAGGCATAACATCATCGATTGTTACTGGTGATACCTCTGCTTCCGCCCTTGTCGTCGCAGCTGCAGTTGGTATCGATCCCGCAGATGTTCACGCTTCGTCTACCCCCGCCGACAAGAAAGCTATCATCGAAGACCTCCAGTCGCGTGGCCAAGTTATCGGTATGGTCGGTGACGGCATCAACGACTCCCCAGCGCTCGCCTCGGCCGACATTGGTATTGCTCTCTCTACTGGTACAGACGTCGCCATGGAAGCTGCCTCTATCGTCCTCATGACCAACACCGATCTCCTCTCTATCCCGGCCTCACTAGTCCTCAGCCGTGCCATCTTCTTCCGCATCAAGCTTAACCTGGCATGGGCGTGCATGTACAACTTTATCGGTCTTCCTTTCGCAATGGGTTTCTTTCTTCCATGGGGTCTTTCGTTACACCCCATGGCTGCTGGTGCCGCAATGGCATGCTCATCCGTCAGCGTTGTCATGAGCTCTCTGCATCTCAAGTTCTGGCACAGACCCAGCTGGATGAAGGTCAGCGTCCTTGATCCTGGTGCGCCGATCGATGAGAAGGAAGCGGAGATGGAGAAGATGGGCCACAAGGGCGTCTTTTCTACTCTCAAGGATTGGGTCAGCGATGCGTGGGCTGCGAGGAGGCGGAACAAGGAGGAGACAAGTTATATGCCTTTGATGGATATGGAGCAGCAGTAATCTCGTTCATGCGTGTTTGAGCAGATGTTGTTAGTATTGGCGTAGCGTTTAGGATACCACCTTTCCTTGGTTCTTTCCTTGTCTGTATGTCATCGCATTTCCGTTGTTCCTAATTGGGAGTCCCTGTATATAGCTCTTGACTCCCGACACTGTTGTTCAAGCCTCGTATGAATCCAATCCGATCTATGCTACAGCAACCTTTATGTCATGTGAAGATCAAATATGTTAACTCAATGACATTACTCGTCAAACCAGCAAACATGTAGAAAATCATGATGCGATAGCCCAAGTACTTACCTGAAGCAGCCAAACGTCGGCAGCTTGCCGTGCGCGTGACGAAGTCGCGAAAGCGCGGCGGGCCAGGGTCCACCAATTGGCGTCACAAAGATAAGGCCAAGATGAACAACACAACACCGCACCGCAACCGCTTCCCACTAGATATTCGCTCGCTTCGTGGAGCTTACTCGGAACACACATGCGACCGTGAATAGCACCGAATCCCACGTCCTACATCCGCCCGCCGCCAGAAACGTCAAACGAGGCCGCTGCCGCCGTTCACCATGGGCAGGAACCGAGCCGTGTCGAATGCGTCGACGCGGAGCAGCGAGCCGCCGTTACAAGTAGGTATGGGCACTTTTTGAGCTTGGCAGGACTGTGCTGAGTAGACGCAGGAGCTGGGGAGTATGTATGATTACCTGGCCAAGGTAGTGCTGTTGGGACCCAGCGGCGCTGGCAAGTAAGTTTCGCGATAAGAGCGAAGACATGTACCAAAACACCGATTAACCAAGAAACGCCTATAGATCCTGCCTCCTCCACCGCTTCGTAAAATCCGAATGTAATCTTACCCCCATCTCCTCTCCCCTCCTCTTCCCTCCCCACCGCCATCAACAACCCCCACTAACACCCTCTCCCTCACTCACAGGGCGCGTCCTCTCCAGCCAAACAATCGGCGTAGAATTCTCCTCCAAAATCGTGCACATTGCCGACCGCCGCCAACGCTCGCCCTCGTCCCCCTCGTCGCGCAAACGGATAAAACTCCAGTTATGGGACACAGCTGGCACAGAGCGCTTCCGCTCTGTCTCACGGTCCTACTACCGCGGCGCCGCAGGCGCTATCCTCGTGTACGACGTGAGCAGCTGGCGCAGCTTCGAGCAGTTGAAGACGTTTCTGGATGATGCGAGGGCGTTGGCGGGGCCGGATATTACGATTATCTTAGCGGGGAATAAGGCGGATGTTGAGGATGGGGGGGTGCCTATAGGCATGAATAGTGGAGGAGGGGGAGGAGGAGGATATAGCAGTTATGCCAGCACGCCCTCTTCAGAATCTGGTCTCCCTCCACCCACGCCCTCCTCGCAAGCAAGTCGCACACCTAGTCTCAACGCCAATCTCCACGCGAGTTATACCATTGCGCCCGACGGCCGCGAAGTCCCCGCCGAAACCGCTTCTCGCTGGGCTGGCCAGAACGGTATCCCCGTTGCTGTCGAAGTCTCCGCGTTGAACGGAGAGAACGTGGAAGAGCTGTTTACACGGTTGGCGCGCATGATTCTTACGAAGATCGAACTGGGCGAGATCGATCCTGATGATCCGGCCAGTGGAATCCAATACGGCGATTTGGGATGGGATGACGGGGGTGGGAGTGTGAGGAGTGGGTTTGGGGATGAGGGGGTTAGGTTGAGGAGGAGAGGGGGGAAGAAAGCTGGTGGTGCGTTGGGGGAGTGGGAGGATGTTTTTAGACTTGGTGGGGGTGGGGGGAGGAGGAGAGGGGGGTGTTGTTGATACAATGGAATGGAGATGGGAGTACGGCTAATGTGTGGACGTTTCTTTAGGAGGTGGTAGCGTGTGTGGATTTCGGATTGTGTAGTTTGTATATGCGGCATACCCATGGTGTTTTTTCTTTGGAGGATATATAGATTGACGATGTAATGCACATAGAAGGATCTTCTACATCCGTTCTATTGAAACTTCTGTTGCGATTGAGATGGTTTTTCGAATTGTGTAGTTTGTACGTGCGGTCTGCTCTTGTGTGTGTTTTTCCCTGGATATATGGATTGCTTGGAGATGTAATGTGGATGAAAGGATCATTGGACGAAGGCTGATCAAAACGAGCTCTTTTGACTTGTAAAACTTCACTCAGCGAATACGGGGGATTCAGGGTATACCCTGCATTACGATTGTTACGTATGGCTACCTGACGGCGTTTAGTCGTCTTGATACTACTACTGCATCTATTCCAGCCCGTTCTGACCTCAATATCTGAGTATGCAGGCCATTTTGTTGTCTTGCCTTGCATCGACATCCCACCGTCATAGAGGACTTCCGCGTCGGCTGAGATCTACATCGTGAATTGACGCAACATATATGCATCACATTTCTCCATTCGATGAGTTGTCAACCCTCCACTGACGCTGCATCACGTCCAGTCTACCTCACGATCGCGCGCTACTCGGGAGCTACACGACGATCACATGTCACCCACGACGTCGGAATTACATCGGGGCGTTTTTATCTCACCACCTGCATCGATAGTTCTCACCTCGGGGCAATAGTCGGACGGGCTCAGTGTGCAGATTTGGAAGTCAACGGAATTCCGTACCAGACTGAACAACGCGTTATTCGAACTAAAACTTTTTAGATGGTTGATTTAGGTGGGTTGATCCGTAGAGTACCGCGGCGGGAGGTTTTGTGGTGTGCCCAGATGCGGCGACGTGAAGCCTAGCGCGATCTTCTCGCGCATGCGCGGATCTAAACGTCTGGCGTGTCGTCATCATGGAAAAGGATAATGCATGCGCACGCGATCACGCTCCAAGCCACTCCCCACGCGCATCCGGACTCGATCCAGCAGAATACCGACAGCATCCATCAATACAGATTCCTGCACTCCGAAGATTTCCCACAGTATGTCCCATATCTTGCATGCTGACGCGTTGGGGAAACTTCTGGATCCGCCGTAACGCGTCCGAAACCTCGGCATCTCCATGTCGCAAAATTACATTTGCCACAGCCACGGATGGCACCGGCGGGCGGGCTAGCACTCGGGGGTCGCGTGCCCTTCCGAGGGTGGACGCCCCAGTGCCCTGGCAGTAGCGTGTTAGCATGGGCTTTGTGCGTCACTGGCATGTTCTTCAGATTTCCATGATATAGGCGTGCGTGCGGCTCCGTTTCTGATCTAGACTTCGTCCACTACTTTCACCCCATTCTTACGGCCTGTTCGTTTCTTTACTAGATTTACGACTCGTTTGAAGATTAATATTTACGTTTTTTGACAATCATACTGTCGTTCTCACGCGCGTTTAGATCTCTTACCCGCGCTCTCCCCTCGCGACTTCCGGTCGGGACAGCGAACCCGCTTGCGATTGCCGATATGTCGTGGCTCCATCGATTGAATCCCACGCCGGGCTTCCCGCCGCATACGGGACCGTACAAGGTCGGCTCTGTGGATGTAGAGATACCCACAAGCGACCTGGACAGCCCGAGCGCGGATGCGCCTCCTGCGGATCTACCAACTGTCGCTTTCCGCATCTTTTACCCGTGTAAACAGGACAGCAACGAGAAGGCGGTGAGATGGATACCGAGTCCGCAAAGGGAATATGTTGGTGCTTATGCAAGGTTTCTGGGGGCGAACAGCGCGTTTGCGAGTGTTTTCTCGTAAGTACCTGAGATGCGATTGGGATGAGCATGATACTGACAGTTGTTTAGATTGATGCCACAACTACTGTATTACATTTCTATGCCTGTACACCAAAACGCCGAACTCCTCGCTCCCCCGCCGAAGTCCGATCGATGGCCCGTTATGATGTTTTCCCACGGACTGGGAGGCACCCGGAACGCATACTCGCACATCTGCGGCTCACTCGCAAGTCACGGAATCGTAGTGGTAGCAGCAGACCATCGCGATGGCAGTTCGCCTCTCGCCATCCACCACACACCCGAAGAGAAGCCGAAGACGAAGCGCGTTGACTACCGATCGATTGCACACAAGGCGAGCACAGAAGTATACGAGGCACGAGACGAGCAACTGAAGATAAGGCTATGGGAGTTGGGCATGGTACACGATGCAGTCTTGAAAATCGACGAAGGACGTAAACTCAAGAACGTAGCCCAAGACCAACCCAAGGGAAAGAACCTACTCAGCATGTTCTCCAACATCCTCAACATCCACGAGCCCGGCTCCATCAGCTACGCAGGCCACTCCTTCGGCGCCTGCACAATGGTGCAATTCGTAAAATCCGTCTACCACCGCCCCCAAACGTCCACCCCGTCTTACAAACCCCTCTACACCCCCTCCTCAGACTCCAGCCTAGTCCAACAAATCACACCCCAAAACTCCGTCACCCTCCTCGACCTCTGGACGCTCCCCATCCAAAGCCCCGCCACAAGCTGGCTCCGCTCCAAACCCATGCCCTGCTACGATTCCCCGTCTGGCGGCAAGAGCCTGCTAGCCATCGCCTCGGAAGGCTTCTACAACTGGTCCTCCAACTTCCGCGAAACGAAATCAATCTTATCTCCTCCCTCGCCTTCACAATCCAGATACACAAACCAACCCGGCCCCCACATCTTCTACCCCATCGCCTCAGCGCACCTCTCGCAATCCGATTTCGGCGTCCTGTTCCCCTGGGTCACAACCAAAGTCTTCGGCGCGAAGGAACCTGAACGCGTACTCAGACTCAACACACGCGCGATATTGCAGATGCTGAGGGAGAATGGGGCGAGGGTTGCGAATACGAGTGCGGCGGATTTGGAATTGGAGGATGAGCCCGGCCCGGCGAAGGGCTGGAATTTGGTTAATGATACTACGATTTTGAGTCGGACGAAGGATAGTGTGAGGGGTTGGGTTAATATTAGTGTGGATGGGGAGGAGGAGAGGGGGGAGGAGAAGGTGGTGAGCCCGTTGGAGAAGGTGGGGAGTAAGGGGAAGGGGCCTGGGGATGCGGTGGTTGAGGGGGAGGCGCTAGGGCAGGTTGTTGAGGGGAAGGCTTGAGGGGGTGATGTGATGTGTTCGTGATTGGGATTGTGAATGAAGGGATGGCGTTTGGCATAGCGATCTTTTGTTTTTGGCTTTGGAGTAGACATACCCGGGTATATAGAGATGAGTTTGTAAATGATGATATGGTTTTTTCAGAAAAAGAGGTTGTTCGTACTGGAAAGAGACATATATCCTACAGCCCGATACAGTCTTGACCTCTCAATATAGATCGTTGGGAAGCTACTTATGCGGCGATTACAGACTAGACTTGATACAGAAAACTTCCTATTTTTATATACACCCCAAGGAAACTACATATGCTGTCGTTGCGCAAACAGACGTATCTGTCGTCGACTGACCAGTTTGCTCTCCTGCTATTTTGATGAGTGAACAACGGGTATCCTGAGAAACGCCTGGAGTAAAAGACAAAGGAAAGTAAGGGAAAGAAAGGGAACGGTATATCCGCCATCACCATCACCGCCATGCCATCCATCCACATATCCTTTCAAACTTGGTGTCTGCCGCAGTGACAATGAAACCGTGAAACACACTCCAGAACAACCCATCTCCCGCCATGAAAATGTGACTTCACGACAAGACATGGCACCACAACCCCCATTCCCATCCCCGCTCCCATCCCCATCCCCACCCCCGTCTCCGCCTACCAACCAACACCAACACCCTTATCCTTCAACCGCCTAAACTCCCTACACTCATACTCCGTCGGCCTCTTCGCCTTCCCCTGCCAGCGAATCCCCTCCTGCCCCTCGCACCTCTCCAGCCGAAACCGATACATCGCCTTCACGCTATCCGTGCACGTATACCCCCTAACCACATACAGCCCATCGTACCTCAGCCCCAGTTCCGGGCGGTAGGGGTTCTTTTTATTCAGCTGCGCAGACCGGATGACGCGAATGGGGTTGAGTAACTCGGCCGATTTGATCAGATGAGCGGTGTTCTCCGTAGGCGTGCCGTTGCGGCCTTCGGTGCCGGAGTATTCGATGGTGTTACCGTTGTCGACGTCGTGGTATGGGTTTCCGCCGGAGAGCACGATGGAGTAGGCGCCTTTATCGCGCTCGCCGTAAATACCGCCTTGAGCCGATCCATGCGCCCCGTCGCGCACTGTGCAAAGCTGCGTAGGCCACCATTGCCCCAGCACCAACTCCCCCTCGCCGTAATACTTCGCGGTCGTAGGAAATAGAGCACGGTACGTCTCATCGAGGCGATCACTCGTCCTATTATCCCCTTTATGCGGCGCAATACCGCGCAGTATATCTTGATTCAAATCGCCCTTATACCAGCGCTTGTAAAGCTGATACGCATCCGCCTTGAGATCCCACGGGAACTTTGTGCCTGGTTTGAAGATGCGGGGGAGACCGTAGTCGGGGCTTAGGGTCATGGCTTTGCGGAGGAGAACGGTGTTGACCTGAAGGTCGATTTCGGCTTTGTGAATGAAATCGCGGATCTTGTCGTAGAGGGCTTCGAGTTCGATCTGGGATTTTCCTGGCTTCTCACAATCTGTCAAGGCCGCTTTGAGGGCTTGGAGGGTTACGAGGGCGAGGGGCCGCTTTTTGGTCATGGCTTCCATGCGCGGGTCTTTGATGGTGATGGAGCTGTACCATGTTGGGAGAGACTTTGCAATAGGATATTTATCTTCGGGGTCGTCTGAGACGAAGAGGTCGTTTGATGACACGATCTCTGATTCTGATGCGTTTGTTGGCGTTGCCGGTGTTGCTGGCGTTACGGCCCTTGAAGATGTAGCAGCTGACCGCTCCCGTGAAGCGCCTGCAGTCGATGATTCTGCAAACGTCGCACTCTTTGGCGAGTCCTTAAGAGGCTCCCTCTGCTTCCTCATCTTCCACAAGCTCTGAACATCGATCTGCTCATTCGTCTCCTTCTCCTGTGGCTTCTTCTGAGTCGGGGTTGGAGTCGCAGACTTAGACGGCGCCTTGCCCAGCTCCTTTGTATTTACTTTTAGCTTTTTGTGCGTGTCGGCGTTCGGCTGCGGCTTCTTTTGAATCTGAACTTGGACCTTCGACTTGCTCGGCTCTGTAGCATTCTCATTTGCTTTATTAGAGGTGTCGTCTTTTGGCTTCTGGGAGACGGCCTCCTTCGCCTTGGACTTGTCTTGAACTCGAGGCTGGAGAATGTCTTGGACCTTCGCTTTCTTAGCCGGCGGATCGACAGGCTTCGCACCGGGAGATGTTGGAAGCTTACGCTTTAAACCCTGCTGCGCTGGCTTGATGACCTTGGGCGTGACCGCGATGGTGTCCGCCGCGACAGGTTGCTCCGCATTCTTGAACGGGTTCATTTGATGCTTTGCTCCTAACTCCGTCATCTTCTTGCTGAGAAGACTCATCCTCTTCTGGTGCTCCTCGTTATTCGCTTCCTTCTGCTCCTTCGTCTTTTGTAGGATCCTCGCGACGGCTTCTGGTCCAGTACCAGACGCCTTCGCAGCATTCTGGGCTTTCTCCAGCAGCCATGCTGAGGATTTGGGGACTTCGTTTTTGGTCGCTGCCATGGTGTTGCAGTTGATATTCTGCGAGGTGGGGTGGTCGTGTGTTTGTTTACAATGTCAGGCGCCAGCTGGCGTTTGCCATATACGTGCCGCGCTACCTCTAGGCTGCAACAACAGAGGTGCGGGGTAAAAGAGAGGAGCAATGAATATGGATACTAATGTACTGGTAGATGACGTGGAGTGTAATGGACCTCCGGTACTAATCCGCTGCAGCCTTGAGGCAGCACGCGTGCAGGTAATTCTGAGTCTTCTACTAGACCCTACTAGAAGCTACGATATGTCCGTAGGACACCTGCAACTGTAATAATTATCAACTATGGTAAGTCTGCCATCGATAGTTAGATTGATGCTGAAAATGAATGGGAGGAAATGGGTGAGGTTTATATAGTATTCGATGGTTGACCGCAAGTGCTCGATGTCGCGGATGCCACGCTAGTCTCGCATTATCGCCGCGTCTTGATTGGCTAACGCATTATCTCGTTCAACATGGGTGTATGTATCTCTCTGAATTTACATTGGACAAAAGTCACAAGACAATGCATGTTGGAGTCTCTAATGCCTATAACATGCATATACGAGGGATGAAAGCGATAATCTTACCCCGAACAAGTACATCTTATAGAAGAACAGTCAGTCTTGCATACAACTAATGCATGTCAAAGGCAGAGTATTACGTGACCAGAGGCTATGCAATGCACATTTGATTTGATATAAAGAGTGAGTCACAGTAGTTTAGATCAACTTGCATGTTGGCCTCTACATGGGGTAAGGTTTAAGTGGAACACGACAAAGTATCTGACGCAAGCCTGAACATGGCAGTTAAGCCGACACACTGTGATACTGAGTTGTGCTCAGGTTATACAACAGTCTAAGTATGCACCGCATGCTAAGACAATGTAGATACAAAAATTGATGTATCGTGTACCTTCAGCATAGCGTATCAGCTCATCAAAGAGACGAGTTCATCTGTACATTGAACTCGCCATCACTCACATGAACATGCCAAGTCAGAGTATTTGGGGAAACATGCCGCATTACATTGCACAGCCATATCCCATCACAGACTACATGTCCATCTCTACAGACACACATATCCGTGTAACCCAACACCAAAGTATCCGATACAGTACAAAAACCAACCACTCTACTCATCATCACTCTCCTCCTCCTCATCCTCCATCTCCAAATCCTCATCGCTCAACCCCTCGAGGTCAACCTCCTCCTCTTCCTCATCCTCCTCATCCGCCGCAAACTCCTCTCCACCCTTCTTATCATACTTCTCCCCCTCCTTCCTCTTCCTATCCTCCGTCTTCCTAGCCTCCTCGAGCAACTTCGCCTTCTGCTCCCTGCTCTTACGCTGACCCGCCACATACGCGCCGAGCGGACTCTTATCCCACTCTACATCCTTCAAGAACCCATCGACACCCGCACGGTTATTCGGTGCAAACTCAACCTTATTCCTCTTCTCCTCGACCCAACGGGAATTAGCCTCTAGTTTCTGAACCAAGAGAGCGATGAGAGACGAGACTTTAGTATTTTTGTTTCCAGAGCTCTTCTTCGTCATGGCTTTGACCCAGCGCTTTAGCATGACGATGACGGGGAGGGCGAGTTCAGGGAATGCGATGTTTTTTGTCCAGAGGATGAAGAATTCGGAGAGGAGTTCGGCGACTTGCTCGCCGGTGCCGTCTTGGTAGATGCGTGTGCGGAGGAAGGCTTTTGTTGCGCGGATGCTGATGCTGAAGTCGAGGGCTTTGAGGGTGCTGGGCTTGGGGGGTTTCTTCATCTCAGCCGAGTTGAGGACTTCGACGAGGGCGGGCGCGAGCGGGATGTAGGTGGAGGTTGCTTGGGCGATGCGCAGGAGCGAGCGGATGAGTTGGAAGCGTAGGGGGAAGTATTGCGATGTGGGGATTAGACGCATGGCTCCGAGGGTGACTTGGACGACGGGGTAGATGAGGGGGCGGAGGGGTGAGGGTTTGCCGGACTCTGCTTCGCGGAGGGTCTCGCAGTGCATGGAGATGACTCTTGACCAGAAGTCGAGCGAGTGGACGTACTGCCAATTGTAGACGGTCTTGTAGGAGTCTTTTGTCTTGTTGGTGATGCTTGTGCGTAGGTGTATCGCGAGCTGGCGGATGAAGCCGAAGCCTGTGGTGTAGCCAACAGTGGGATCGATGCCCCAGAGCTCGGCTGCGGTGTTCTTCATCAGGTTGATACCCTGAATGGTGTGGATTGTGGTATTCCTCGCGCTCTTGACGAGGCCCTGGTATACCTGCTTCAAGACAGCCTCGCGGATGCTTGGGTCGGCAATGACTACTAGTCGTCGCAGAACCAAGAAAGCCGACACTCTTGTTCCGTCGTTGTTGGCACTATCCGACCAGACTGATGCGACAGAGCGCACGACCTCGCGCACGACCTTCTTGAAGGACAGAATGTATGGGAGCATGTGGGAGAGCGAGTCTAGCGTCATCTGGAGGGTCTTCGCATCGGACAGGTTCTCAAG